TTCTAGATGTTTTGATGAGAGCAGAGTATATATGGCAGGACTACAAACCTCCCTAGTCCTGAACACTATGTTTCTCTTAAAGCAGTCTACAACTGTATTAGCTTTCTTGGCTGCTATATAAGAGTAGAACTTCAAAAGATAAATAGTACATTTATTAAGCCCGCTAAGCACTATGCTAAGACAGTCCTAGCCCTCAAAGATTTACATTCTACATTCTTTTCCATCCTAATGGAGAAGACAACAAAAAGGGGTATTAGAAAGCAGTTAGGGGACCCCTGGAGGCATGGTCTAGAGAAGGCTGGAAAGTGAGATGAAGACCTAGTAAGATAAGGCAAAAATTCATCTATCAGAGGACAAGGTAATTCCAAAGGTGGAGTCCAAGTAACCAGTCTGAAAGAAAACCTGATTGGAGGTGAGGTGGCACAGCCTGGAGAAGGGCAAAGAACATACCTCTAAGGGCTATAATATTCAGGTGCAGAGCACAGTATAAACTTTAAAGTTTTCTTTATGTGATTATCACAAAGAGAAACTGTTGTTAAGACAAGCCTATTCATAATTATGTCCCTGAACCCAGGTAAAAGACTTATACTTTCTAGCTTTTTATGTAGTTATTTATTATCATCTCCAGCTCTATGTTTACGTCTACTGGACATCTCTTTTTGACCATCACTCGAACGCCTCAAAGTAAACTGATCTCCCCACTCTCTCTCTCTCAAAACTGTTCCTTCTCCTAACTTGCCCATTTCCATTGATGTTACCATTATTCTTTCATCTTTCCATCGCCTTCACCCTCCACATTGGAATGTTTTATTTGTTCTTCTAACTAGTCTCTGATCTTAGTGCACAAAGACAGCTGAATCTGAAATGGTTCCCACTGCAGTAATTCTTCATGAAAATAGCATTCATAAACTATAGGCAGTAAACTGCTTAGTAATCCACAAGCCTTTAGACTCTTATATTTCTTCAACCCAAATTATACTTTTACTATCTTTTGCCAGTCTCCTTTGTGCCTAACTTCACAATGCAGTTGCCACACAAGAAAGCGTATGTTAGCTTGTTTTGGAAGATTTTCGCAAGTACTTTGTGGAATTTCTCTACTTTTTTATTCTCTGCAGCAGATGTAATACAGAAGTTTAAATTCTCTTTTCAATGGTCTTTTTGCTTATCTTCATCATAAGTACTTCAAGGCAAGATGGCCAAGCATCTTCTGAAATTATTCTCCTTGTACATGATTGCACTATGAAACCAACTCTTTTATTCAACTCTCCAAGAACCTGTGAACTGTTTTGTTTTCATTTACAGCAAGTTTATAAATACTGATGTAGTTCAGTTCCTCTGGTAATTCACCAACTCAGTGGCACTGAATTAAGATCTCAAATTCAGAACAACAGCAGTTAAATCAACGTTTATAGATGGACCAACCTGCATGATTTTTGGCAGTCTATCCCTCTTTCTCACCACTCTCCACTATCATTGCAGCAATAGAAGTGACTACTTCCCAGTGAGGGTCAACTTTATTTAAAATCTATTTATCTAAATGTATAAAATCTAGAGATGTGCTACCTGCCAAGATGTCAATAACAAAGTGAAACCAAATCTTCTCCACAGACCTTCCAGTTTAACAAGGGAATGGAGGGTACTCACAAGTTATAGGCACTTCTTTCCCTTATAATCTGAGATACAAGCCATCACAAAATATGTCATCAATGTGGGACATAAAGTTTTCTGTGGACCTAAATTTCATCTTAAGGAAGGAGACACTGCCAGAAACCCACAACAATCCAATTCTAAGCAAAACATGTAGAGCCACATGCAAAAGATAAAATAGTTGGTAGCACTCAACTAGTACAGAAGCCAGTTTCATACACCTTCAGATCCATCGAGATCTATGCTGAACGGAGAATAACTTCATATTCTAGGGCAGAAATCTCCTCTTTGTACCACCAAATGTTAACACAGTCAAACTCAGAAGCGGGGAAGTGAGGACTGGGACAAGAGAATAAAAATCACAACTCTAGAGCTGGAAGAAACCTTAGAAGTCACCTAGTCTAACCTCTTCACTTTACTAAAATAGAAATTGAAGCCCACAGAGGTTAAATGAATTGTCCAATGTCATAGTGTGTGAGCAGCACAGCCGATGTTTCAACCCAGGGCCTCTATTTCCAAATGCAGCAGTCTTCCCAGTGTACCAGGTTGCTTCACAAACATGAGGCAGAAGACAGGATTTTTTTTTTTTAAGCAGAAAATGTGGAGGATAGGGGGAAAGTGAGCAACATCCACCAAGAAATACTAGACTAGGATTCTTGAGCTAAAAGAGGAAGGCAAGAGGATAGAGAACTAAAGGGAAGGAATAAAGCACTGAAAAAGAAACTTCAAGAAAGGGGGCCCTGAAAGGGTCAAAGGTTTAAGGTCAGAATCAAGGAATAAGGGGAAAGATAGAGAACTCAGGAAAAGGGAGGAGGGGACCAAAAAGAGAACTAAAGCTAAAGATGTCAGATGTGGTAGGGCTCTCAGAGATAAGCCAGTCCTACCCCTACCCCTCAATTTATGGATGAGGAAACTGAGGTACAATCTAGAACTGAAAAAGAACCAGAGAAGCCATCTAGTCCAACCCCCTCGGAAATAAGGAAAAGAAAGTCCAAGAAGAAAAACTGACTAGTCCAAGGTCAAAAAGATAGTATCAGTGGCAGGCTTTGAACTCCGCCTGCAGAGCCACTGCTCTTTCCACTGTACCAGGAAAGCGAGCTACTGAAAATCGCCCAGCAAGTTATGGCAGAGCCGGGACTCGAACCCAGGTCTTCTAACTCCGAATCCAGTGCTCTTTCTGCTGCACCTCAAAGTTGAGGAGACGGTGGTGGTGGTTGAGGAAACTGAACGAGCGGCCAGGACAAGCAGCTGGGGTGAGGATGGAGAAGCGGGCGGTGAAATGTTGGGGCTCGGGCAGGCGCAGGGGAGGGCGGGCCGCGGTTCAGAGGTCCCGGCTGGCGACGGCCGGGGAAGGGGCTGTGGTGCCGCGTCCGTGGCAGGCTAAGGGGCCGGCGGCCCGAGGGGGGCCGGAGCCTGGGGAGGAGGGGGCGGGGAGAAGGCCGGCGGGGCCCACGGCAGGCTGGGACGAGCGCAGGGCGCCCGGGGCAGTAGTACCTCTCCAGAGCTGGACATGTTGCGGAGCCGAGGCCGCCGCGGCCGCCACCCGCCCGGCGAGTAGCCACCCGAGTCTGCAACGCCGGGGCCTTCCCCGAGCCGGGCCGGCGCCACTCAAACCCGGCGTCAGCTGCTCAACTGAGGGCCCTAGCGGCCGGGGGCGGGGCTGCCCCGCCACTTCCGTCGCAGGCCAGATGCGGTCACTTCCGGAAGCTACTTTGGCCCCCTGCGCAGTTCCTCGCGGTCGTCATCTTGAGTGAGGCAAGTAGGGCAACCTACTCCACCCTCTCCCTCCGCAGCTATTCCTTCCTCCCCTCCCCCAACCAAACGCGCGTACACGTACACAAAACGCGCATGCGCACGCACATGTTGCACGCACATGGGTGCAACTTGTAGCTTCAAAGTCACGCTGGGGTTAAAGGGAGGAGCACCACTGCCTACGAAAAGAGACTTCAGTCTCCTCGTCGGCAAAATGGGGAGAAGGTGCTAACGCATCTTTTAGCTGGGTGACCTTGCCAAGTCCCTCAGCCAGAGCCTATTTCCTCAGTTCCCATATTATCAGTCAACCAATAAGCATTTATTAAGCACCTGTCTAGTGCCAGGCACCATGCTGGCCGCTGGGGCTACAAATAGAAAAATTACACGATGCCTGCCCTAAAGGAGGTTACATCTTATACAGGGAGATAACATCCCATGTATTAGTATATAGAAAATAGGGTAATTTAGGCAAGTGGCACTGACAAACAGCTGGGAGAGTCAGGAAAGACCTCATGGAGGCTTGGTGTTGGAAGTGATCTACAGAGGGTTCTATTTACCATACCAATTCCCACTCTCCAAGGCCTTAGTTTCTTCACTGGTAAAAATGGGGATGGGGGTGGAGAGGAGGGTTAAAATATAGTGTATATTTGTGTGTGCCGTGCCAATTCCTTCTCTGGCAGCCTGTAAAATAAGGAAGATAACACTTGCAAAAGCCCTTCTCCAAAGACTTTGCCAGCAGAGGGAGGTCAAGCTATAGGCAGGATCTGGCCGAATGGACTTACTAACTGTGTACCCTTCCTCCAAAAATCATCCTGGATAAATTCAAAGCTGCTTACTGCCAGAAAACTGGCTCATTAATTATGAATTGTTTTTGCTTACAGCACTTCCCAAACACTGTCTACTGAGGCACAGAGGAAATTACTGTTTGTCCCTTAAAATCTGGATCCTTAAATTACTGAAGGAAATTATGCTACTTACATCCAATGAAACAATACATCTAAAGCACTCTATAAATGTCAACTTGTAGTCCTTCAATATTACTTTCCTAATATCATCCCACTTTTCAGGGGAAAGCACTTACGTCAGGTAACTGAGATAAGCACTTAAAAAAAATAATAGCTAACATTTTATAGCACTTACTATGTTCCAGGTGCCTTATAAATCCTAGGTGTTCTTGTTATCTCTATTTTATACTTGGGGAACTGAGGCAAACAGCTGTTAAATGACTTGCCCAGGGCTACACAGCGGGTAGAGCATCTAATCTAGGTGGTGAAATGGATAGAGCACTGAGTTTGGAATCACAAAGACTCCTCTTCATGAGTTCAAATGTGGCTTCAGACACTTACTAGCTGTGTGATCCTGAGCGATCCTGAGCAAGTCACTTAACCCAGTTTGCCTCAGTTCCTCATCTGTAAAATGAGCTGGAAAGGGAAATGGCAAACCACTCCATTATCTTTGCCAAGAAAACCTCAAATGGGGTCACAAAGAGTTAGACACGATAAAAAACTATTTAACAAAAACACAACTAGTGAGTATCTGAGGCTGGATTTGAACTCAAATCTTTCAGCTTCCAGACCCAATACTCTAAATATTGTACTTACCTCCTCCAAATCTACAAATAGGCAAGTCAAAATCAAGTGGAAAGTGAGGTCAGCCTGAATTGAGATAACTCAAGGCACTTTCCACCATACCACACTGCCTCTCAGAGCAGAACTGGGACCTTCTCTAGTGAGCCTTATGGTGAAACTCACAAAAAATAGCATGGAGAGTTCCTCAAAAATTAAGTCCTCATGTCACTTCCTGTCCTCCCATCCTGTCAAAAAAAATTATTGCATTAGCTTCTATGACATATCTCCAATATGAAAGCCAGTTTATTCACAGTTACTTAGCATTTACTCTGTTGCACTTGCTCAAATTAGGATGAAGATTTAGGTTCCAAAACCATTGTGTTCAGTAATGGCAACATTATGCAATGATCAACTTTGATAGACTTACCTCTTCTCAGCAATACAGTGATCTAAGACAACTCCAAAAGACTCATGATGGAAAATGCTGTCCATATCCAGAGAAAGAACTGTGGAATCTGAATGCAGATCAAAGCATACTATTCTCTTGTTTTTTGTTGTTGTTTTTTTCTTTCTCGTGGTTTTTCCCTTGTTCTGATTCTTCTTTCACAACATGACTAATGTGGAAATGTTTAATATGATTGCACATATATAGCCTATATCAGATTGCATGCCATCTTGGGGAGGGGGGAGAGGAAGGAGGGGAAAAAAAATTTGGAATTCAAAATCTTGTAAAAGTGAATGTTGAAAACTATCTTTGCATGTAATAGGAAAAAATAAAATACTATGAAGTAGAAAATAAATAAATAAAAATAAATAAATCTTATAAAGTGAATACTGAAAAAAAATTTGTGAAAAACATTGTATTTTGGGGTCAGATCAGATAAGAAGACTAATAATTGCTTCCGCAGCCAGAACTTAGTTGTATTACCTATGAATTCAGCAGTTCAGCAAAAAATGACAGAATGGTTGAAGAGGTAGAATTCAAAGATTAATAATAAGAGCCAGCACTTACACAGTTTATATAAGTTATTTACTTTGATCCTATACTGTGAGGTAAGTGCTATTTTATTATCCCATCTTATAGAGAAGGAAACTGAGATAATGATGTTAAGTGATTTATCCAGAGTCACATAACTAATAAGTGTGAGCATTTAAAGGCAGTATTTAAACTCAGGTCTTCCAGATCCCAGGTCTAGCTCTCTATCCATTGTACCATATAGTTGTCGATATACATAGATCTGCCTTCAAGGAACTTAACAAATAATTTGGGTAGCTAGGACAGACAATTGCACAAAAAAGTATGATACAAATTGTGTTGTTGCTGTTCAGTCATTTTGGTCACGTCCAACTCTTTGTGACCCCATTTGGGGTTTTCGTGGCAAAGATATTAGAGTAGTTTGACATTTTCTTCTCCAGCCCATTTTACAGATGAGGAACTGAACAGGGTTAAGTGATTTGCCCAGGGTCACAAAGCTAGTCAGTGTCTGAGGCCAGACTTGAACTCAGGAAGATGAGTCTTCCTGACTTCAGACCTAGTACTCTATCCACTGAGCCAACCTAGCTGCCCTTCATGATGCAAATTAGAATGGGATAAATCCCTTTATAGGTATGGTACATAGAAGTGATGGAGAAGGGTCAAAGGAATCAGGAAAGCAGGAAGGAAGCAAGGAAAGAAGGAAAGAGGAAGGAAGGAAGGAAAAATGGAGAGAGGAAGGGAGGAAAAGGACAGATAGATGTAAACTGGGTCTTAAAGCCCAAGCAAGGTTTTAACAGAGAGAAAAAAAGATGCCTTTCTATTCGTCACAGACAGGTAGTTGTGTCTTAAAATACCTTCTATAGCTGCTTGGTTTACTGTAGGAAATTCAGCTCTCACATTTCCAGCACCAATAGACCCTCTTTCAGACTGAGTTCATTTTCCATTTGATTTTGACTGGCCTATTTGCAGATTTGGAGGTGAAAATAAAAGTCTCATTATAGTGCTGGGAACAAAGTATATGAACTTAATATGTAATTACTGCTACCTTGATTAATAAGTGTTTGTTAAATGAATGAAAGAATGAGTGAATAATCTGATTATTAGTAATTCTGAAAAAGAGTTTGATGGGGAAATTGAAACTAAGAATAAAATGCAATGTAACTATTGGGCCTTAGAGTACTCTGACAGGTCCTTGCAGCCTGATCATTGATAATGGTAGAATCAAAGTAACATTCCTGCTCTACCTGGAAACATAAGACCTATAGTTAGTTCCCTTCTGATCCCTACCCTAGAGGAACAGAGAAAAAGAACATAGAAGTAGCTGATAGTATAGTGGATGGAGTGCTGATCCTGAAAGACCTGAGTTCAAATTTTACCTCAAATATTTATTAGCTGTGTGACCCTGGGTAAATCACTTACCTTTGCCTGCCTCAGTTTCCTCAACTGTAAAATGAGTTGTTATGAGGATCAAATGAAATAACCTTTGAAAAAAGTGCTTAGCATAATGCCTGGCGCATAGTAGGTGCTATATAAGTGATTTTTTTTTTAAAGAGCAAGTTATGCAAACTTTAAAGCCCTAAATAAATTTGTTTTCAGTCCAGACCCATGATTTTCCAGTGAAGAAATTTCTTCTACCAATGCAGATATCCTACGGTTTATTGTCAATGGTAGACCTAGGTTGAAGTTCAGCCTCTGACACCCACTGACTGAGTCTGGCTGAGGCTGTGATACAGAGTTCCCTTATCTGAGAGCTCCCTATATCCATTACACGACAGATTCAGTCCCTATTCTTGTTATTATAACAGCCCCAGAAGTTCTCAATAGAACATTAGAATTTAATAGAAAAGATGAGGCATGTTTACCAGTAACTAGAATAAAAGTACAAAGGAAAGGTCCAGCTAAAGTGAAATAGATAACGTTCAGGTGGCTGGGGAAGGTGAAGAGAAGAACTGGTGAATAACATGGTACGTAAACTAAGTCTTGAAGGAAGTAAATTAAATAAGTATTGATTAAGCATCTACTGGGTGCCAAGCACTGTGCTAAGCACTTTACAAATATCTCCTTTGACCCTTATGACAACCCTGGGAAGTATGTGCTGTTATTATCCCCATTTTACATTTGAGGAAACTGAGGCAGGCAGCGATTAACTGACTTGTCTAGGGTAACACAGATAGTAAGGTAGCATTTGAACTCCAGGCTTCCTGACTCCAGGCCCAGCAGTCTATAAACTACCAGCTAGCTGCCTCTAAGCAGCTCTGTCTTGAAGGAACAGAAAGATCTGAGGAACAGAAGGCAGAGACTGAGGTCAGAGGTTCTTAACTTGAGGTCCATGAGCTTTTTTTTTAATAGCTATTTTGATTAAATGTAGTTCAATATCATTGGTTTCCTTTGTAAGCCTCTGTATTTTATTTTACTCATTTAAAAACATTCTGAGAAGGGGTCTATAGGCTCCACAAGGCTGCCAGAGGGATCCATGACACAAAATAGGTTAAGGACCCACACACTGGAGTAAAAGCAAGCAAAAACCCAGAAAAGGAGAGAACAGAGTGAAAACATAGAGCCCATGAAAGGAGTCATGTGGGATGTTGATGTGAAGTTGTTTCAGTCATGTCCGACTCTTCATGACCACATTTGGGGTTTTCTTGGCAAAGATACTGGAATGGTTTGCCATTTCTTCTCCAGTTCACCTTTTACAGATGAGGAAACTGAGGCAAGCAGGGTAAAGTGACTTGCCCAGGGTCACATAGCTAGTAAGTGTCTGAGGCCAGATTTGAACTCAGGAAGATGAATCTTCCTGATTCTAAGCTCAATGCTCTATCTCCCCCTCGTGGGATGCATACACCCTACTTTTCTACCAAATTGGAATAATCACCATTTCCAAAATATGACCAGCACTTTCACCTGTCCTCTTTCACCTTTCCACCTATACCGATGCTGTGACTTACCTCCACAATTCCTTCTCTTACATTCAAATCCTTCTTCCTGATTGTAGGAATCTCTGTCTTTTGAATTCCCTTAAACCTTGCATCTATCTGTTTCTTGGCATTTATAGCAAACTCTTTTATAACATTACATGTTAGTGCCTTCCCTCTAAGATTATCTCATATATGTTTTGTGTATACATAGTTGTTTGCATGTTGTCTCCTGATCCCCTCATTAAATTATGAGCTTCTTGAGAGCAAAGACTCTTTTTGCCTTTCTCTGTGTCCCCAATGCTTAGAACAGTACCAGGCATATAACAGGTGCTTAATAAAAGCTTCTTGACATATTTTCCTAATCTTTTCTACTAGAAAATTAAATTATTAAATTGTGATCTTCTTGAAGGAAGACTATTTTTGCCTTCTGTTGCAACCCCAATGCTTAGAACAGTACCAGGCATAGAGTAGGTGCTTAAAAATTCCTCTTGACATGTTCTCCTAATCTTTTCTGCTAGATCTGAAGCTCTTTGAGGGCAGGGATAAATGTCCTAAAAATTTTGGATCTCTCACAGATTTCTATATGTAGAAGGTATTGAATAAATGCTTGTTGATCAGCGGATGAATAAGAAGGCTAAAGGGAAGATTGATAACTTCCTTGTTACCGTAAAAAGCCACCCCCCTCACCATCCTGTCAGTCATCAGATGGCATCAGTGTCTTGACTCACTCTCTCTCATCCCACATATCTAATCCTTTGCCAAATCTTGCTATTTCTTTCTCTACGTAGCCCTGTCTATCACACAGCTGACACCCAATTCCAAGCCCTCATCACCTCTCGCCTGGACTGTATATAACCATATATAGTCTTCTGCTTGGCCTACCTAACTCTGGTCTCTCCCCACTCTGATCCATCCTCCATTCAGCTGCCAAAATGATTTTCCTAAAACATGACTCTAAACGTGTCACACACATCCCTTCCCAAACTCCACTGGTTTTCCCTATTGCCTCAAGGATCAAATATAAAGATCTCTGCTTGGCATTTAAAGCTCTTCACAACATTGCCACTTTCCATGTTTCAGAGGAGCACTGTATTCAAAGACAGAAGACCTGGGTTCAAATCTCAGTTCTGTCATCTGTAAAATGGGAATAACATTCCTCTTATAATCTATTCTTTTTGGTTGTTGTGAGGACAGTGTTTTGTAAATGCAAGTACTCTCTTTTATTTT